TGGTCCTTAGAAATAGCATGCTAGGACTTGCACTTATCTAATAAGAACATGGAAAGTGATCTTCTGACCTGTGCTCCCTATCAGTACCAACAAGTGCTCTGCAAGGCTGCAGAGTGAGCTGCCCATGAACAAGATACTGAGGAGGCATTGTATTTTATATAGGCATATGCAAAATTACATGTTAATATATATAGAATTATATGTCTGTGTGAATAGGTACGTATAGGGAGCAAATACATTTGCCAAACAAAAGATAATCAAATTGCAGAAAATCATAGGCTGCTCCCAGGTGATCTATGAACCAAAAGAGCTGAGAGTCATCAGATGAGTGTGTTGGCTTTGCTTTATTTTCAGTTCTACATTTCTGATTATTATATGAACTGCTTAGTTGTACCTCTGTTGCTCCTGTACCTACATGGCAAAATTAGATTAAACTATGCGTCATGGACACACCAGTGTTGAACAACAGTGGTGACTCTCTCACAGCACATACCTTTTCAGCAGAAGAGATGCCTTGGCTGTTACCTTGTTACCTTGATACTTACAGTTTCTCTTTGAAGGTCAGACTGAGCCTAACAGTATGACTGAGTATAACAGTGCCAGTATAGTGGCAGAAGGGTTTGCTTGTGGTGGGGTTTAACACTCCTTGTGATTCCACGTGCTGCACAATTAGCTGTTTCTCATGGAGAGAGTATGTGATGAACTGTGTATAGGTAGTGCTGGGAGTGGAGAATTTAAACATCTTAGCTGCGTGTGATAAGCCTCGCTAGTGAACAGCTGGTGGAGAGACTCATCTAGCTCCGAGGGTGACAGCTTGTGTACTTGGGGGTGCAATAGGATTAGATAGAGATTTCCATTCATTTTAAAATAACCTTGCTCAGGAGAGGCAGAAATCTGGAGATGCAGCAACCCATAGCTCACTGCTTGTTACAGTAAGTTTCATTGAATGTTATGCTCTAATTTAAAAAAAAAAAAAAAAAAAAAAAAGGGTTTTGGAATCAAAATTGACCTGAATATAAATCCATTGGCTTCTGCGTTCTTACACTAGGGATTAATTTGGCCCTTTCTACTTTTATGTAATGAGCTGATTGCCACAGTATCTTATCCTTGTTATACAATCGCCCTTGCCTGGCTGTGTCCCTGGAGCTGCCTCTGTTTGTTTCCAGATCCAGGGTCTCACCTTGACTGCCTGCGTGTTCAGACCTCCAGCCTCACCCTGACTGCAGACAGATGCTTGCCAAGGGCTTATGCTCATAGCATTTGTATGTGTGCATGTATGTGCATGATCACTCCAAGTTCAAACAGTATTTATAGGGAAGTATATGCCAGTAGGGAAATTCAGAGGCTTTTTTGTTTAGCTGATTGCATCCCTGCAGTGTTTTCCTTATTGGTGAAAAGAGGAGGGGGAAAGTTGCTATCAGAGATCTCATTTAAACAAGAAGGAGCATAGGAAAATACATTCTTTATTATTCTTCTGTAACAACAAGCCAGAAATATAATATACCTTTAAAAATTTTCTGTCTCATGCCAAAGAAACCTCCATTCAGTCATTTTAGAAAATCTTGTTGCTCTCCCTCAAACAGTAACAAAAAGAAAAAGAAATTACAAGTGCCATCTGTTCCCTGCAAGAAATGTGCCTGCCTGTACCACAGGTGGGTGTGTGAGGCCAGGGGGCTGCAGGGAGCAGGGGTGATGTTTTTGGTGGGCCTGCCAGCCCATAAGGAAAGCATGCCTGCCTCAGAAGACCATTTCCTGAGGGCAGGTACCTGCTCTTGGCATTGGTACCCCTGCCTGCAGCAAAGAGTGCATTTACTGATGTTCCCCCATGCCTGCAGGAGCCCCCACTCCACACACCAGAGGAACACATTTCCTGGGCTTACAGGGAGCACTGGGGCTCATTGTGTGCCTGGCATCCTGCAGGAGAGCATAATTTCTGACCCTGTCAGACACTGTGTTCCCTAGAGATGCTTGCTGACAGTGCGAGGCCTTTCCAGGTGTGCTTGGAAAGAGTAAGAGCCTGTTTGCCAGTGGTACAAGGAGGTAATTTCCCAGTGAATCCCATTACTCTGCTCTGCATGAAAGAGGACGGGTCCTTGTCCTTCCAAGTACGATATTTGCTTTCCAGTGGGACTCCCCATAGCATTCAGCCTTCATGTTTCTCAGCAACATTCTTTTCTCCCCTTTCCTGTCTTTCTCCTTGGTGGATTTCTAAACACAGCGGTCCCTTGTCTAGGGTTGAGATGAATCCAGAGTTTCTGCCTTATAACTGAAAACAAAGAGGAAAGGATGGGCAAAGTCATCATCAGCCCACAACACGAAATATAGAAAATGTTATTAGCAACAAATTAAAATTTGTTGGGACAGGAGGAGCTCACAGGGAAGGTGCAGAGAAAGGAGGATTTCCTCCTTCCCCAGCCCCTGCCTCCCTCCTACTCAATTTGTCTCTAGTCTATCCCTCTAAAAACAATTTCATTCTCTCTCTTGCTCTCTCTCTCTCTCTCTCTCTCTCACACACACACACACACACACACAAACACACATATATGGATCCCATTGGTTTTGTGCAATGTTTCACCGTTATTTGATGCAAGTAAAATATAGATCTATAAATATACCGCTCTGACTCAAGTCCCATTTCAAGTATGATTGCGGAGTCCAGTATGGTAAAGGGAGAAGTTCCCCTGAGAGGGAGATTGGGGGGGATTTGGATTCAGCAGGCAGAGTCTAGTCCCGGCTTGCTGGGAATGTGGAGCAGCAGTAACACACATAAGGAGTCTGCAGTGCACCAGTTCTGCCCTTCAGAGCGGGCTATGGTTGCAGCAGATGGGATGGTTTGTGTGGCTGTACAGTGTGCATGGGAGAAGAGTCCTTCCTCCTCACATTTTGCCAGCCTCCCTCCTCCTCCTCATCTTCCTCACGAGCAGTGTGCTGAGAGTGGGAGTGCGATGTGTGCCCACGCTGGTGGGTGGACAGTTTTCTCCCAGTCCTTCTTCCAGGGTAGCCTGGTCTTCTGCTTCCTGGAGAACATCCTCGTCTGTCCCATGCAGCCCTGTATCATGCTTAACACAGTCCAGAGCATCCTGTCTCTTTGCTTATGGTGTCCCTGGTAGACCAGAAGGAATTTTGCAAATCCAGGCTTTTATTGAAGACTTGTCATTGCATGCCCATGGGTCACTACAACCTGTCTGGGATCAGGAGGGGGTAGGAGTTGGTATGCATCACTCCCATGGGGACCTAGCAGCAGCGAGCAGGAGGGCTGTGAGATGTCTGAAGGCTTCGGGATCCAGCTGGAGCAGGAGGGAGAGGTGAGGTGCCCTGGCAGTGCCACCTGCAGTGCCTGCTGGCCTTTGAACAAGGGTGACTCGCAAAGTACCCTGCCAAGCTGGGCTCACTGCCAGCTTGTTTCCTCATGGCAAGGATCACACCATCCACAGGCACTGTGGATTCACGACCTCTGGTGTCATCTTCCTAGCCCAGGAATACCCACTGTGATGGGTTAGAACAGGTTACCATGGCAATGTGCGCTCTCCCCTGGAGACAGCATTTTATCCACTTCCAGCAATACAAAATGAGTCCTTATGTTGAGTTTCCTTCATTTTTTCCTCTCTCACTTTTTTTTTTTTTTTTTTTTTTCCTTCCCTGTCAGTTTGAAAAGAGCTGAGACTAATAAGAGGCACTGCAGTCTGAGGGCTTTAAAATCTGGTTGGGGGAAGACACTCTGCATGAGAGCAGCAGTGAGTGCAGTTGTGTATGGGCATGCTCACGCAGCTGTAGCTGTCAGTGAGCACAATGGTGATGGTGAGGTGAGAATATGTGGGCTATGCTGTACGCCATGCCAACTCCTTTTCAGGCTCTCCCACCTGTGCCACACTATGGTCTAGATTTGAGCCTTTACCTTAAGACCCTCCAGAGTTGTGCCCCTCTCTCCAGTTGCCCAGACACATTGCCCTGCTTTGTGCACTGTGCTCTTCCCTCTTCTAGTAATGTCAGCTCTCAGGTTGTTTCTTTTTCTCCCCTTCAGCCCACACGACCCATAGCAGCAATCATACTGCCTGGACTGGTAATCCATGTTCTCCACTTCCTGATGGCCCACATCTGCTCTGTCTACCAGACATTTCCAAATGGAGGCTTCATATCTTTGCTTTCTCCATCTATCAGAGAATACATAAAATGAGTAACAGAACTTCCTTATTTTTCATGCTCTGCGTTTGTTTCCACTGACTCATGCTGTAACCTTAATAACTCTACCTCTCTGTCCTCTTCTCCCCATTTTCACCAGCTCCCTACTGTGGCTGAGAAGTTAGTGTTAGCTCCTTAGTGGCAGACTTTGTGCATTTTGTCCAAAGCAGAAGATACTGCACACTGTTACAATAAGACTAAGCTGCAGTGGCTAGATGGATTCATGGCTGCATGCACAGGGCAGATCAGTATGTGCAAATGGGACTCTGGATACGCAGACATAGTGTCTGCTTGTATGGAGCTGAACAGACCATGTGTGTGCATTCGGATCACAGTGAGTCAGGAAGCATGTACAGGGGGATGGCTCTCTCTCTGTGCACCTATAATGGATGATGAGGCAACTGGCAGATTGGGTGCTGGCTGGGAGCAAGAAGAGGATCTTTGTGCTCTCTGGCATCGTGTTAGAGTGATTTAGGTATTTTTCCACCTTTAAAAGTGAGAAACGAAGCCTCTCTCTGACTGTTGTCACCCCCAAGGGACCCTTGATCCCTTCTGATGTGCTCTTGGGCACACTGTGGGCAGCAAGTTACAGTCACAGCGCAGCAGTGACCCTTCCAGTGAGGTGTGGACACTTCTGGTCCTGCTCCTCCCACAGACTTTCATAGAGCTGCTCTCTCTGTTTCCAGACAGCTCTTGGTGGGATACAAAACAACTCAGGACTGAGGCTGAGAGGATGACACAGGTTCCCAGAAAGTGCCAGCTGTCTCCACAGCAGGCATGCGAGGGGAGATCTGTGCGTGGGCATGAGGCACAGCAAGCACTCGAGGTCTGACTCTACTTTATTTGTCTGGGCCCAAGGGTGAAAGGGCACAAATGGGCCCGGGGCAGAAGAACAGAAATTATAGTCAGATGCCCTGACTCCCCAGAAGCATGTTGCACTGCTTGGGTGAGTGGAACAATAGCACAGTCTGTCTTTCTGTCTGGGAAGATGTATTTTGGGAGGACCCCATGCTTGCTTGACTGCTCTCAGGTACCTTTGTTCATTGCTGTCCCTTCCTTCCTAGAAGAGTCTCACGCCACAGAAGAGATTTGTTTTTGCTCTTCATGTTCACCCTCTGTGTCACCCATGAGCGGTTGCCTCTTCTTCAGCTCCCGGTGATACTTGGCCATGAGGGAGGCGTAGATGCAGCCATAAGCGGCCGCCACCACCATCATGATGCAAACAATGCCACAAACCACCCCTGCAATGATCACAGTGCCAATAGCCCGGCGTACGCTCACAGGCCGGTATCGCTGTTTCTGAGGGCATCCCACGCTGGGCTCCACTTCTGGTTCTGGGCCCGATTTAGTTTTGGAGGGAGTCGGGCTTCCTTTTGTGCAGGGTGGGCCAGTATTGTCCAGCACAGTGGAGCTGTTTTCATCATCCAGCTGTGAGCAGTAGTTAAACATCTCCATGGGCACCATTCGCATATCCTTCCCTTTCAGCTCCTTGGGCAGGGTGCATGCCAGCTGGTCGATTTTCCCACCTGTCCCAACAGAGATAACAGGAGTGAACCACAGCTTCATCCTGATGCAGAGCTATGGCATAGCATTTATGGACAACGGAACTAGATCCTCAGGTGAGATAAAGTTCCTATGTCTCCATTCACACCTGAAAAGGATTTGTCCTGCAGAAGTCAAGTGCAGCAGCATGATGGTTTTCTAGTGGAGGACTGCTTCAGTATAGCTTTGAGGCCATACAGAATCACAGAATCATTAAGGTTGGAAAAGATCATTAAGATCATCTAGTCCAACCATCAGCCCATCCCCACCATGCCCACTGACCACATCCCTCAGTGCCACATCCACACGGTTCTTGAACACCTCCAGGGGGAGTGAAACCACCACCTCCCTCGGCAGCCTGTGCCAATCCCTCACCACTCTTTTTGAGAAGAAATTTTTCCTAATATCCAACCTGAAACTTGCCTGGCCCAACTTAAGGTCAGTACCTCTCATCTTAAATACAATCCAGTCCCTCATGTATGAATGCATTAGTGAGTAAACAGAATATTCAGAGATCTTCTCCCTATCCCAAAATGCAGCCACAGTCTTGCACAGTATGTATTTAGAGTTCAGGGCTAAGGCTGAAGTCAAGATGAGCTGCAGGCCTCCAAATGCTACCAGATCTGCAGCCTTCTGAAGGGTGGAGAGCAGCAGCAATGGCTGCACCTCCATGCACCAGGCAGGTTGATATCCTTTAAAATGATTGTTCTGATTGATTTAGAGATGTTTTGCATGCCGTAGGCCTCCATCAAGGGAATGGCTTGAACCATGGCAGGATACTTCTACCTAGATGGAATTTGACAGTAGGGCTCATGATGCTTGATATCTGTGTAGGCATCTTTAAGACCAAGATGTGAAAGCCCTCTGAAACCATCTATTAAGTCAGTCTCATGCTTTATACTGAGTTATATAAATGTCAGCAGAATCATTTTAGAAAGGGGGAAATTAAAGAAAAAGACAGGGCCAGGCTCTATCTTCTCAAAATAACAGATTCACAGTACCATCTTCTAACAGCTAATACATCCCCCTCTTATGGAAATAGTGACAGATGTTGAAACAAATGCTTGAGTGAGTTTGGGCAATTTCTTTTGGGGGGAAAAACAACAACAACAACAACAACCAAACCAAAATCTCTGTGTGCTTTTTATGGACTGTGTAATATGACAGTCAAACAAAACAAAAAAAAAAAAGAGAAAAGTGGCACTCATATGCTTGTTTGATTCTGCTCACACAAATGCATAGTTCAGACTGCAGTCTAGCCATAGGCATAGATAATCTCTTTGCAGCATGGCTGTGATCAGCAGGGATGTGACAGCTGACTGCTGCTATCCACATGATTTGAGACCCTTTCCTGCTCATTGGCTGCACTGACAGGTCAGGCCTTCAATCCTGTAAGATGTGCCATTTTACTGTGAGTCGCAGGTCCTGAAATTATCCTTCAGAATTCCTGCAGCGTGATACAGACCTTTCTAGCCTCCAAGGATAAGCTGTAAATACAAACTTGTCAAAAAACACTGATTTTGAAATAATGATTTAGGGACTGACATATTAAGTCAAGTCTTTGGATTTGCCAGTATTAGTTGTAATATTTTCCAAAACAACACTGTTCCCATGGTTCTTCTGCTGAAAGCAGACCCAATGCTTCACAGCCAAATCCTCCCAGCCTAAGGAGAAGACCTGGATAGTTGTTTTCAGGTTTGAAAAGCATTTCTTTTCTTTAGGCACAAAGGGTTAGGGGAACTTATAATCCTAAAGTTTCGAAGTTATTTGAGAACAGTACTTTCCTCTCAAAGAAAAAAAAAGTCATCTTAGGGATTCAAAACAAAATGAGGAACTAGGGAGCCTGAGGCTGCAGAGGATTCTCCAGCCTGGCAGCATTATTTTATGAAGATGCAGCAGTGTTATGCTGTCAGTCAGCTTTATCGCACTGTACTCTTGCTCCTTGGCTAAGATCCAGAATTTAGGTTGTTCTGATCTGCCAGCTGTGTCTGCTTGCTTTTCCTCCCTTCTCATGGCAAACTAACACCTGCCTGCTCCGCTCCCTCTGCGCAAGCACCTACCTCGATAGGAGAACCACTCCATCCAGTGCTTGAAATCCCGCAGGTTGCAGTCGCATTCCCAGGGGTTGTCCCCAACCTGGAGCTGCTGCAGGCTGGTTAGCGGCTCAAAGGTCACCCTGTCCAGGCTCTGCAAGCGGTTCGACCTGAGCGAGAGGGAGCGGAGAGCAGGCAGGTCATCAAAGATGCCCGAGGGTATTTGGGCCAGGCCGTTAATGGAGAGATCCAGCTGGCGCAGCAGGGCCGTGTGCTGGAGAAGGTCCTTGTCCAAGGCCCGGATGCTGTTGTTCCTCAGCTGGAGCTCTGTGAGGTTCCCCAGGTCGCTGAAGATGTTCTGTGGGAGCTGATCCAAGAAGTTGTTGGATAGATCCAGCCTCTGCAGGGCAGAGAGATTGGAAAACACTGGTCCCGGCAGAATGCTGAGTTTGTTGTTGAGAAAGAGGAAGGTCCTGGTGTTTGTGGGGATGTCTGAGGGGATGGAAGAGAGGCCCAAGCCACTACAATCCACTTCCAGGATACCACTGTTACACTTGCAGGAGGAAGGGCAGGCAAAGAAGGACTCTGCAGCACACAGTGACAGCCAGCAGCCGAGCACTGGGAGGTGGATAGCAAGGGAGAGGGAAGAGAAAATGCATGTTTTAGAACAGTGCTTTCCCATCCTCAGCCAGCACCGCTCTGTACTCAGCTACAGCCACAGTATGGCCCTCACAAGGGTACTCCTCACCACAGTGCCCCAAGGAAAAGGAGCTTCCTCACAGACAGATCCTCCTACTGCTGGCCTGTACCCTGCTAGCATGAGTTTCTCGTGAGCCTTTATTTAATTAGCAAGCAAATAAATATCCTTCCAGTTTCACAGGACATTGTGTCACAGAATTTTAGGGTTGGAAGGGACCTCTAGAGATCATTGAGTCCAGTCCCCAATGATACCAGATGACTTCGCTGCCAGAGAATTCAGAAGAGAAAGGAACAGAGAGCTGTAAGAGAGGTTACCTCTGATAAAGGACAGCTATTTCGAAATGTCAGGGCTGAGAGAGGGAAGTCAGTGTAATATACTTAAGAAGTTCTATTTCTTAAAGAAGTAAGCAGGTTAATAAAAAGCTTTTAAGGAAAATCAAAACAAAACAACCTAAATCTCAATTTCACTCCTGCAGTTTGTGTCATGGTCTTTATGACATCAGACCCAAGTCCAAGTTAGTCTCTAAATCAGCTTATCATTTGCTCTCCACATCTACAGCACATTGTGCGGGCCTTGTGGAAAAAGACTTTCTTATGAATTAGATTAACTTACAAAGGGATGACCAAAGAAAGCTATTAGCAAGTAACAATGAGACACTAAGCCAGCAGACACTTTGTATGTGCCACTGCTCTCAAAACAGTTTCTGAGTCCCACAGCAACAGCCTCACAAGCATCTCTAACCAAAATTACTCATAAGTGTAGATGAGGAACAAATTCCAGACTTGTAATTGAAGAATAGAAAAAAGGGTTAGCACACACTCTCTTTCTACTCAAAGGTAAGGTTGGATATTCCGCAAGATAGCATTTTTTAGAGCTGTTCTGGATCCCTGTTCCAGCGATGGATTCAGATCCTGTGAGAAGTGTCAGGGCTGTAGTTGTCACCCCTTCCTGGGAGCCAGTGACTTTTAAAACTCTCCTTTCTGTGACAAGGAAGCATCAGCAACAGAAAAGCAAGCTTTGTGCCTCCTGTCGTTAGAGGAGTGGGAGTTATGTTTAAGCAGACTGTGTAAAACATTTGCATCCTTCATCCCAATTCCTTTTGTGAAGTTGAGATTAATTGCTTCAGTGTGGGAAGCAAATTCAGCTCCCTTGCTTTTTTTAAGGTGATGAGTTTGAGCATTTGACTAAAACTGAAATAAGTTTGTCTCTGCATCATGCCCTACTACTTTGCTTCAGAGAAGTCACTTGGGCTTGGTAGTCGTTAGCAGTGAATGGTAGCAAAAATGGATGCATTTGTTGTCTTGTTATTCTTTCCTGGGTTGAAAACTATGCCCTGTCTGCGTTCCCTGTTTTTCATCAAACAATCAGCAAGTATTTTATTTTTTGTCCCAAGGGGAATTCTGAAGAGACTGTCACAGGCCAGGTAGCTGTTGGACACCCAGATTGAGGAGAAGCTCTGTCTGGGACAGGTCTGCAGACAGGTCTGCTTCTCCTCTCTTCCCTCATGCCACTGTGTCTGGAGTTTAGTCAGCCCCCATTGCCCATTTTATGTACCAACGCGGCTTCTTTCAGTGATGCTGCCTTCATACTTGAATCCTGTCATCCTGTGTCAGTTCTTTTTGTGTTCCTGGTGATCCTTGTGAGAATTGGCATATTTTTGGACTGACAGCCTAAGGAGAAATGCGCAATTTGGATGCTAAGCTATGTAACTTTATTAAGGACCAAGGGATGAGTGTTCAGAGAGAATCTCTCTGCTCTTTTTTTTTTTTTTTTTTAAATCCATCTTTTCACAATTCCTTCAAGAATTTTTCTTTTTGCTCTACAATTGAGATCTCGGGTGTACATCAGCCCAAGCCATGCCTACCTGCTCTTTTAATGACAAATATAGAGCATTACAGTAAGGTATAGCGAGATCTTTACCCTGAGCACCTCTGCGCTTTCTTATCATGCAAAAGTTGGGGTCAACAGCAGATACTGACATGAAAGCAGATCATAGCCTGTGAACTGGCACAGTGCAGGCACTGCCTGGCTGGGTGATATTTAATTCCATTCAGAATACATCGCTCTCTTGTTGTAGGAAGAGAATTAAAAGAATGAGAACTAGAATGAGGAAGGGAGAGAGCCATGAGTCACTCGAGTGACCCTGTCTTTTCCTGGATGCTTAACAAAAGTACACTATTAATAATAGATTGACAGCTGTGATGATGAGATAACTCTTAGCTTCTTTGTATACTGAGAAAGGCAAAAGCAGACTGTGTAAAGCTATACAGGTAGCCTTCTGTTTGGGGCTTATCTCCCCAAACACCTACCCACTGCTGGCCCCTTACCACTTGCCTCTGGGGTGCTGACAGTGGTGAATAGGAACATAATCTCAGGCAGCTGGCTGTGGTTGTTCAGGAAAAGCACTTATGCCAAGTTTCTGCAGCCATATAAGATGTGCCAAAAAAGTCTGTTATTATCCATATTCTGCTTCGTTCCAACACCCCTGCCATGGGCAGGGCTGCAACCCAGCAGCTCATGCTGCCCAGGGCCCCATCTGACCCAGCCCTGACTGCCTCCAGGGATTTGGGGCACCCACAGCTTCTCCACAGCTGTGCCAGGGCCTCACTGCCTTCTGAGTAAAAAATTTCCTCCTAATATCTAATCCAAATTTTTCCTCTTTTAGTTTAAAACACTTCCCACTTGTTGTATTGCTATCAGACAGTATAAAAAGTTGGTCTCCCTTCCTTCAAGTACTGGAAGGCCACAATGAGGTCTCCCTGGAGCCTTCTCTTCTTCAAGCTGCTAAAAAAAGCCCAACTCCTTCAATTTTTTTTCATAAAAGAGGTGCTCCAGCGCTTCGATCATCTTCATGGCCCTTCTCTGAACCCATTAGCTCCATGTTTTTTTGTGCTGGGGGCCCCAGGCCTGGGCGCAGTACTGCAGATGGAGCCTTATAAGAGTAGAGCTGAGGGGGACAATTCCTCCCATTCCCCGCTTGTTGCCCCTCTGTTGATGCAGCCCAGGATACTCTTGGCCTTCCAGGCTATAAATGCAAACTGCTGGCTCATGTCCAGCTTTCCATCCAGCAGAACCCACAGGTGGGCCCAACTTTTCAAACCTGTCCATATCTCTTTGGATGACATCCCTTCCTTTGGTTGCATCAAATGTACCTCTCAGTCTGTTTTCATCATTTCCTTGGAAGCATTGTGCTAAAATCATAGAGAAGAGAAAGTCTGATTTCATTTTCAGTCCTTGCAAGAGATGCATCTACTAAGATGTGAGCAGAGACCAAGAAATGGCTATAATGCAGCTTTACAGGGAAGAGAGGGAAGCAATAGGCAGAACCTGAAACTCTCTTCCAGCCCTGCAGTAGGATGAGCAGCATGTGTTTTTGTGTTAGGTGAAGATGAAGTTACTTTGTGAGGTGTTTGGTGACTCGTGTAGGTGGTAGAAAGCTGATCCAGGAATATCAGATTAAGTCAAGATTCAGTAGTATTCATTGTAAATAATTCATACAGCATTCTAGTCTGTGAGGATGGATTACAAAAATGCCTGTTTCTTGGATAAATAAATAATTCTCTCAGCTTCTTACAGCGGCTGTCCCGAATTCAATCAGGAGGGCAAGCAGGAGGGAAACTATGGGCCTGAGCAAGCAGCAGTGACAGGCACTCCCTAATGTCCCCAGGAGCTTCTCTGCAAAACAGGAACACCCCCTGAAGCCCCACATCACTCTGACAGTTCTGCTCTGCACTCAGGGGTGCTGCGGCAGATGCCTCTGTCCACTGGGAAGATGCAGATGCTGAACTTTCACAATTCAATTTGAAAGATATTTTCTTTATTTATTCTTTGATTTTCACTGCATCTGGCAGTGCCCAGTAGGAGAATTCTGCATTTGCATCCTGTATTCCCTTCTAAATTCTGTCATGACTTCTGCCATGGGGAACTGGGAACTGTGCTCGGCAGCCTACATACAAAGCCCTGCCACAGCGAGGAGGCTGCAGCTTACAGGATGCTGATCTGAGGAGTGTTCGGGTGGATCTGTGTGCAGTGGTATCTGTCTTGCTGTTTCTCACCTGTCAGGCCCACTGGAATTCAGAAGCAATCATCACATACTGTCCCACTTTAAGCCCATCTTCAGCTTTAGATTCTCGCTCTCCCTCCCAGCTAGCCTGGCCTCTAAAGGAATCAGGAATTAGTTCAAACATCTCCATTCTTAGCTGTCCCTCTCCCCTATTCTTAACCCTGCTGCGACCTATTTTCTTCCCACTCCCTTGACAAAGAGTATCATTGTACTCAGTACCTGAGTAGGCATTACTTACGGCAAGCTTCCTGCCACCTCATGAGGGACCTGCTCCTCCACCGGTGGCCGGCACTCATAGGCAGCATCTTTGTCCACTCCAGTGTGCCTTCACATCCACCAGCCAGCCTGGCGCTCGGCCCCGGGGTGCAGAGTGACCTCCAAGCCTGCCCACCCGCTCCTGATGGGGAGAGCAGAGCAGAATGGGTGTGATTCGGTTCCTGGCACTGGACGTAGGGCTGGACTCATTGCTATCCTTTCCCCTCCCCAGCTAGAGTTTTGCCTTTCGGGCACCAGCCCTGTTTCAGGGGAGAGATGGAGGATGTTGCAGGAGGCGCAGCAAGAATTCACCTTTCCCCTCTCACTACAGAAATAAGGCCTGATTCTCATAGGTGCCAAAGAGACAAGCCTGTGCTCGAACAGCCTGCTGCTGCAGCTCTGTGAGCCCGACATTCAAGGTCATCCTGATGCATGGCTGAGGTGACTGCCAGGACAGCTCCCCGCCACTTGCTGCCGTGCCGGCTGCAGCCACCTGTGCATCCCCTGTGCACGCTAGGGACTGACAAGCAGCTTCTTCCCCCTCCACCTCCTCCTTTCCCCCCCCCCTCCCCCCCAGCATCTTCCCCACCAGCGTCCTTTCTGTTTCAAGGTAAAATGGATGTGATGTCTAGAGCAGGGCTGGGCAGCATGGGGACCTCACTGCAGTGACTGCGGGAGCTGAGGAGCCTCTGAGGGGAAGGGAGGGCCTGGGGCGGGGGAGACTGAGTGGGAGTGTTGAAAAGAAAGGAATTATGGCTTAATTAGAAGAAGGAAAAATGCTCAGTCTAATTAGAAATCCAAAGACCATAAACTCTCTCCTGACAATAGTGACTGACAACAGGTCTCCCCTTCTCTCCTGCTTCCCTCTTGGATAGCTGCGGGCAGGAACAAGGGGAACACCGCAGACCCTCCCTACCTCAGGTGCTCTCTGACATGCCCTCCACAGTCACAACATCACTCAAATGGATGCATTTCTACCACGGCACAGAGCAAACCACCCCTCATACCCCTGAGAGGCTCTGACAGCCTCCATGGTTACATTTCAGCTGGGCGCTGTGCTCCCTCTGGGACGCTCTCCCCATGCACGTGCCCTCCCTCAGGCTTCCGTGATGGATTTATTCTGGACAGGAATGTAAACCACCGGGAAACGTTTAAATCAGCATCTTGGTGAGAAAGACAAGCAGGCTCAGTGCCTGGTCTCATGCATTTTGCAAGGCTGCTCCGCTCGCTTACTGAATGCACCAGCTAGATACAGACCTCTCACAGCACCAAAACCAACCCACTCCAGCCCACCGCAGCCCCCCAGCAACTCACAGTGCCAGGCTTGCCTTCCAGCAATCTCTGCTGGAGGAGAAGGCTCGACAAGGAGACTTCCAGCCTCCCCCATGCTGATGGCTGGGTCCTGAATGCCACCCTGAAGCCTCCCATCTCCAGGAGCAGTGAGGATGATGAAAAGCCGCCAGCACTTACCTGGAGGGGCTCTGCCCACAGTCACTTCCACCTGGCTCCCTGGGCACCGCACGGATGCTGCCGCTTCCTTCCCTCTCCCTCTGTGACTTTCACTCCCAGCAGCAGGCTTTCCTTGTGCTCTATTTAACTCCCTACAGCACAGGAATAAACAGCAGAGTTAAGCTGACAGCCACAGAGCCTTATCTAGCTGCCGGATAGTGGGAGCCGCTCACTTCCAAATCCTGTTGCCGACTGATCGCGTCCTTGCTTTCAGCATCATTCAGGGGCTGCCTGCCACGCTCTGTCTTTCCCTCTTCTCCACCTTCACTCCATCTAACTTTGTCTGGGTTATAGATAGCTCTGTTCCTTGCGCTCTTGCCTTTTGGCTCTGTTTTGTAACACCCCATCTGTATCAGCTGGCTTAGCTCCAAGTAGGGGGGCTAGGCTTTGGGAAAAAAAAACAACAAACCCAGCTTGCTTGGGTGCTTCATGACACTGTGATCCCCCTCAGCCCAGGCCCCCTTTCCATCCCAGGGCCAGGGTTTCCCCCCGCCTGCTGCTCCATTCCACCACGCCAACCCCAGGCAATGCCGAGGTGCTGATAGCAGCACTGCATACCCGAGATTGGTGACAGGGTCGGAGTTTGTACCCCTGGTCCGTTCTGCTCTGGATGGCAATGTCCAGCTCCCACATCCATCCCTGGTACCTCACAGGCATCTCTTCCTATGAGACAGTGCCAGGGCTCAAGCACCGAGTGCAAGGTGGGAGGAGCAGCAGTGTATAAATAAGCCCTCTCCCTATGTTTAGAATTTATTGCAGTGCATAGTGATTAACACCTGTTCAGGCTTTAATGCTGTCTCCTGTGCTGCAACATGCACAAAGATGGAGGTACTTCGATAAACCCATGATTATTTTCAAAGCATGTCACACAAACACAGTACTCCCTGTCCTACAGATTTACATCCACACCTTTGTGCATTCATATGTTTCTAAGATTTAAAAGCAAATACCATCATATGCTTACACAGACATACATAGTTGCTAATCTAGCTTGCATTTACAAACATGTCCATAGAGTTGGGCTTGCACGTGTACCTGGGACTCTTCTGTGACCCATATTCATGTCATCCGTGTCTTGCATGAAAATGCCTACTTCTCCCAGCATAGCATCTGTTCAGGGGGCAGAGCATGAGATTTGGAATAGGTAAGGGTTCCTGAATGCCTAACTGAAGGGGCCAATGAGCTTCTGCATTTCTCCTCTGAAGTCACGTGTCTACGGTAAATGCAGCACTGGGAACTTCATGGTCCTGGAACAACCTGGGACCTGCCCGCACCTCCGGGCTCCCCAGAGCTTCACCAGAGCTGTTTGGCTGCTCTCAGCCTTACAGCCAGGGACTTACCCAGCAGTGAGGACTATGCCAGACCCAGGAGTGCCCCAGCCCGTGAGGAGAGGCACAGTGCCATCCATTCTGAACTGAATGGGGACTGACTGGAGCCTAGCGATGGTATACACAGCTGCAGCTCTGAACACTCTGAAGATACCCAAAGGCTCTACAAACCCAATGTTAATCTTTCTCTCAGGATTATTGGATGAGTTCTTCACCCTGGAAAAACCTGTCAGCCAGTTCCCCTCTGCTCCATGGGACACTGTCTTCCAGAGCTGCCAGAGCTGAATCTCTTCTCCAGATTCTGGAGGAATGAACAGCAGAGCCTGCAGGGCTGATGACCTTTGCTTCTTGCCATTTGGTATAGGACAGTAAAACGCAACTTTTTTTAGTTTCAGCTCAAAGCAGCAGAACGGAATCATCCATTTCTTGCCGTGGGCTCCAGAGGCCAAAAATACACTGAGCTGAAGTGCCACTTGGACATTTGGCCTGCTGTCAGACTTCCCAGAGGACTCTAATGAGGATTCCCCTAATTAGCTTAACCAGGGAACTTTACTGCTGGGGGGGTGCTGGGGACATTTGTAATGACTCTCCAGTGCTTGCCAGGGCATAAAAGGTACAGCAGAAAGCGTCACTGTCTGGTGCTTCCTTCTCCCTGCCCAGATACCAGTCACATTTGCAGTATCACTTCAAAGCCTTGGCTTTGCTAAGCAGGATCCTAAGGAGCACACTGTGATGGTGAGGGGGGCTTCTGTTGACTGCATCCAAATACTGCTTTAGTATCTTCCCAATTCAGCTTCACGAATGACTTTTAGCATGACAGTAAGTATTGCTGCTGTTATTTTGTACTTAATGAACCCCAGAAACAAAGTTGTGGTCAGAGCCAGTAGGTAGATGGACAAAATTATCCTATCTTCCAGCAGGTACATGAAGGCTATAGAGACAAGTAATTGTCCCAGCACGTCACTGGGATGAGCTAGGGTCACAAGCAAGGCCCACAGCCTCTGTCTCAGATTCTACCTCCCTGTCCTTTGTACTAACCCAAGCTTGGACCTTGGCTTGGGGATCAGACTCCTCTAACAGACTGGCTTACTGGCACTGGCAGGGCATATGGGTGACCCATATTAAAAAAGGGTAGGTTACAGAGGCTATGACAGATGCCAGTGATAAATTACCAGAATGCAAGCAGACGTTCATCCCTCCCCCACGCTCTCCCTGATGAATGATGGCGAAGTCCCCTCCCGGTGCTGAATTGCTTTAGGCTTTATCAGAAAAGCACCAAGGCAAGGGAGGGCATGGGGTACACTTAAAGAAGATTATCTCTCCCCCTCCCCCTTTCCTGTTGCTTTTAGGTTTTGTGTTTTATTACTGTTGCCCATAATGAAGGGGAACATTGGTACCCTAGAGCCCAGTGATTAAAGCATGCTGTCCTGTCTCTCTTCCTCCATCAGTACTTGGAGGATGGGAGTCTGTACGTAAGGAAGGGAGACACATCAGCCATGTCATCTGACTGCAGCAACTGCAAGTTCATTAAGCAACCTGGTTGACGAGTCCTAGTGGGAAGCTGCACTCTTCTGCAGTACCACAAGTGAGTTTAGGATGGACTGGGGATATGACACCCATTCTTTATCCCTCCACTGACCTGGGTCAGTTCAGCAGTGAGTTCACACTGAAACCCATTGTCTCAGCAGCTCCTCGTTTATTGTTTATTTGGATTGCAAAAACACCCAGACTTGGCAGCCAAGCTCAGCACCACTATAGAAACATACAGTGTGTCACTGCCCCAGTGTGCTTATAAGCTAAATAGCTGGGGGCTTCATTTCCAACACTTGCTGATTTATTAACACAAGTGTTCAGGATTCATTAGTGTTGTGCTGTCACACTCAATGGAAAGCACATTTTAAATTCACACTAGAAACCCAGCTGCACAAGAAACGGTGCCATCTGACTTGCAGCAATTGATCACAGCAAAGCAAAACACCTCATACAGAAAGCTATAAAGTAAGTAGAAAGCATGCAAAACCCACTCTGTTGTAAGGGAATGTCACATTCCTGACTTAGTGTGAATAAACCTCACCCTATTCACTGGGATGTGATGAGGTCAGAGATCTTCTGATCTTTGAGATGACAGTGTGTAGGCACTTCTGAAATGCAAATGTGATTGTTGTAAAACAAACATTTCCTCCCCAAAGCTACCAAGGAAGGTCAGTTTTATTCTCATTTTATGGAGGGGAAAACCATCTTAGAGGTTATAGTGGCTGCTGAGTTTAGCTGTTGGAGTTTCAGCTGCCCAGCTCTTAGTACTTCGTCATGGCCCTACATCAATTCCCAGCTTAGGATTTTCAAAGCTGCCAAGTGCAGTGATTGCTCAGAATTGCGTGGACTTGTGAATGCTCTTCTGCACTGCAGAAATGTGTGGGTCTTATCAAAGTTACACAGAGTAAAGGAGTTTTGATGGGGCTTTCCCACAGTTATCCAACAGACCTGTGCCAGAATCAGGAAGGGAGCCAAGTGTCTTGATTCCTCATCCTGTACCTTAAACAGGAGACATTATTTGCATCCAAAGTCTTCCTGATCAATGCACAACAAGGAGACTGAGGAGGGTCAGAGGGGCTGAACCCAGGGCACCAAGCCTCATTGAACCATGTGAGAAAGCACAGAGCATCCTGAGGGGAGCCAGGGGGCAGCATCATTGGGGAAGACCCAGATTGCAGCGAAGAAGTGAAATTCCTTGGGAGTCTGTGGAAGCAGGTGGGGAGACCGGGATATCCAACACAAGAGTGACAGGAAAGTCCCAGCAAAGCAAGAGTGTGGCATATGGAGGAGGCCCAGAGCAGCAGCAGGAGGAGAGCTGAGGGGGCAGCTGGCAGGAAGAAATCCAGCCATGTGTGTGCCAGCGTCTTCTCTGAGCGCGACAGACCACGTGCGTGCTTCCTTCAGCAGAGCGCGGGCGATGTGCAGGGAAGCGGGTGAGGAGTGGGAGAGGGGCTCAGCAGAGAGACACGTGAGCTGGCCTCCCAGTTTTCCTCTTTTTTTTTTTTTTTTTTAATTTAAAATGTGTGTTTTGTTCTTCTCTCACTGTTGGCAAAAATTGATAACCAAGTGAGATGTGGAGGGGGGTTCTGCCTGAAGACTGAGATAACATTTTCTGATCCAGCTGGGAACAGTTGGCTGTGGGTGGTGGCTTGTCACCAGCTCTGCCAGTTCTAATCCAGATCCCAGTTTTTCTCTCAGCTGTGAAGAGCGTTCTCTACAACTTTAATTTCCTGCAGGGGTTAATCCCATGGTCAGTAATAGCTCAGACCCCTAATCCTCCCACTCAGCCCTTGGCAGAAGGACTGCAGCCTCTCCCAGCTCAGCAGATCGGAGAGAGGCCCAGTTTGGCTCCTGGTTCCATTTCTGTACCTCGCAGGTGTCCTTCAGCTTGCTGGCATTTAGAGCACTGCACTCCCTTCCTGCCAAGCCTGATGGGTGGTGAGTGGGCGGCTTACCCCACAGAGAGCCTCCAGGAGAGAAGGCGATTCAGTGGGAGAATCCCAGTGCTGTGCTGCTCATCTCCCTCCCCACCCCACACATAGATACCTTCCACGTTTCTCACTTGGATGGTACTCTGAAATTGAAATTAATCCTTTGTTGGTTTTATTCCACTTGTGTTCAAAAAAAAGAGTTTGGGCCCATGTTTGAGAAGGATTGTCGGGGCTCAGAAATCTCAATATGACCCAGTCCTTTCCTTAGGTCTCTCATTAGAGGCAAAGGATGCAGTGAGTCTGTACCAGGGAAGTTGCCAGCCTGTCTGAAATGAAAGATGTATTTACATGCTCAGAGTACAAAATGGAGGTACATCAATTTAGCAGCCAGATAGGAAAATGCAAGTTTCATTATCAACCCTTCACAG